AATTTCTGCTCTGATTTTTGTTATTTTTTCTTGTCTGCTGGGTTTGGGTTTAATTTTTTGTTTCTTTTTAAGTTTCTTGAGTTGGGATGTTGTCATTTATTTGTGTTCTTTCTGATTTTTTAACGTAGGCACTTAGAGCTATAAATTTCCCTCTAAGGACTGCTTTCAACATGTCCCAGAGGTTTAGTTGTGTTGTATTGTCCTTTTCATTTAGTTTCAGGAATACTTTGATTTCTTTCTCAATTTATCCTTTGACTCGTTCATCATTCAGGAGTGTGTTGTTTGATTTCCATGTGTTCATATAGTTACTAAGGTTTCTTCTAGTGTTGATTGCAAGCTTTATTACATTGTGGTCTAATGGAACGCATGGAATTATTTCAATCTTTTTGTGTTTGTTGAGGTTTGTTTTGTGCCCCAGTATATAGTTGATTTTGGAGAACATTCCATGGGGCACTGAATAGAAAGTATATTCTTTGATGCTTGGGTGGAATATTCGGTAGATGTCTGTTAGGCCCTTTTGATATATGGCATTGTTTAATTCAAATGTCTCTCTGTTAATTCTCTGTCCTGTTGACCTAACTAATGGAGACAATGGGGTATTGAAGTCCCCTCCTATTAATGAGTTGGAATTAATCTGGGTCATAATGTCCTGTAGTACTGTTTTTATGAAGTTGGGTGCACCAGTTTGGTGAATATATGTTTATGATTGCAATATCTTCTTGGTCAATTGTTCCTTTGGTCAGAATGAAGTGTCCCTCTTTGTCTTTTCTGGTTAGTTTCCTTCCATATCTCCCCATCAGTTTTATCTGATAACTTCATGTACTTTCTTCTTCTTTGATTTATTTATGTATTTCTACATAAATAAATCAAAGCCCTATGTAGGGCTTTTGGTTGCTCTAACATTTCCCTCCCTGAAGGGGTAACCCTAAATTTTCTTAAGGATTAGATACAAGCTCCCAAATACTTTCAACATTTTTGGCCTTTGGAATAGAATATGTTGCTAAGAGGCCCAAGGACATTTTGAATTTTAACCAAGAAACTGGCTACGTTTCTTTGGGGTCTTTTTACCCTAACTGCCTAGCCAATTCCTACCTCCTATTCTTATCAGACCATCTTCTGAACAGGTTTTCCAAATTGCCAATAGGGAATAGGGATGCAGACCACCCTGGCTTCTTCCATGCTGAACAGAATTGTGGGGTTAGGCAATTGGAATACCCCTTCAGTTGGTCTATCTAAAAGACTCCCAAATTGTATAACTCTTATCTCTAAGGGGAAAAGAAAGTCTTTGAATCATGAATAGGGGATATGAACAAGAAGTAAAGGCAAGAGTAATTAGCATTACAAGTTCTAACCAGAGAACTAGAAAAAAGTCAGAACAGGACAATTTTGAAATGTTCATATGAGTCCATTGGAGGTTCTTGATAAAAACTTCCAAAAGCATCCCTCTATTGGGTTCTGCCTCATTTCTCTTCTGTCTGTCAAAGCTGGACTCGAGAGTGATGAACTCAGGATTTGTTTTCAGGCACTTTGATAGCTGTTGGAGTGGCTAGAATTAATGTCAGTTCCCTCTCAAAGGCTTCTATATATGGGGAGAAAACAAATTTATCCATCATTGTAGAACAATAGCTGGTTGTCTCCCTTAGCTACAGGTGGGCACTACAGTACTGGAGACCAAGATTTGAAGTCTTACATCTGAGCAGCACGTTGTGGCTAGGAACAAAATCATCAATGAGAAATAATTGTCTAAATAACTTTTTATAGAGACTTAAGCCTAATGTCTGGGAAGTGTAGTCCCTTGAACTTTTAAAGAAATATGCTAATGACTTTATTTTTTGGTTATACTTTTCTTTTGGGTGTCTAAAACCATACAGTTGGCCCAAATAAATCAATTAATTTTTATACTTAAGGTCATTTGAGGATCTGTTCCTCAGGGGTCACATGGACTTGAGTGGAGCTCCTGGCTCCTTTCTTTTACCAGTTCCATCTATGTGAGGATAAGTCAAAGGTGCTGCTTGTCCATGTCTGGCTTCACTTGGAAGCATGAATGAGATGTTTCCTGAGTTGACCCTCCTCTTTGTAGACTGGACACTGGTTCAAACCCATCTCGTGGGGTCTCCTTGTGCTCCCTGAACAAGAGGACAGGTGCCTCACCACAGTTACAGAACATTAATATTTAACTCTTTTTCTGAATCCCTTTAAAAGTTTATCCCTATCTTCTTTCAGTTCTTTGATTTCTTTGTGTGTTCTTTAAATTCACTGAATTCTTTTATCATGTTTATAGTTGTTCTTTTGAGTTCCATGTCCTGTGTTATCTCTAGAGGGTTCTCATTGTCCTCCTCTTGAGGACTGTTGTTACTTGGTGGGGTGGAGATATATTATTTTTGTTTTTTATGTTATTTTTTTCTCTGTGACTTTGACATGTGTATTTCTTTTGTATTTTCTGGTTCTTGTGTGAGACTCAAGCCTTCCTTTGTTGATTTTAGGTCCACTTCTTTTCATAAATTTTATGTGCCTTTGTGATTTACTTGCCGGGTATGAAAAGCTGGTTGGTCTAGGCTTCAGGTTTTCTCTTTTGATTTTATAAAGGTGTGGCCAAATTGCTTTCATCTTCAGGAGTTCCCACAGAGGCCTGCTTCAAATGAGGATAGGATGCTCTCGGGCTTTCTCCTAAGGTCTGGATCCCTCCAGGAAAGATGCTGCCCTCAGGAATTTGGGGGCTGAGCTAGCCTGGGAGCAGGGCCCAGGAAAGATGCAGGTCTCAGGAAGCTGGTGGCTGTGCCACCCAGGAATGCAAGGGAGGTGGGGATGGGAAGAGGCCTCGAGAGCTCCTGGGGACTACTGGGAGGAACTGGGTTGGTCTAGATCCAAAGGACCAGGAAGTAGTGGGGATTCTGGTCCAAGAGGTCAGTCAAGGGTCTGGGGTACCAAGACAAGATATGGGCCAGTACCAAGGCTAGGAGGAGAGATGGGGTGGGGGAGCTGGGAGAGTGAATGAGGCTGGGGAGTCAAGGCATGGTGGGCAGCACGGGACTTACCCAGGAAAGATGCTGGCACTAGGAACCTGGTAGCTGTGCCATTCAGGGATGCAAAGGGAGGTTGGGACAGGCCCAGGCCCAGAGGGCTTGTGGGGACCAAGAAAAATGCTAGCACCAGGAAGCTGGTGGCTGTGCTGCCCAGGTATCGAGTTTCAGCATCTTTTAAATCAAGTCACATTTACTCAACAACATATTTGTAGATTCGACCTATGTTGAAAACCAAGTATCTGCTTAGGTCTAGTGCTTAGAGTTGTGGTAATAGTCCACTTCTGGTTGTTCTTTAAATAAAAATCTTTTGTGATGGATATACAACTCAATTGACTTATGGTTTATGAACTCCTAAGTAGGTTCAGCATAATCTACTGATCTTCAATATACTTTTAATCCATTTGTAAAATTATTTATGGATTATTATAAATATTCACACCTATGAATCATTTATAACTTTAATTCCCAGTACCAATAATGATATCATCCACAAATACATCTCCAAAAGTAACATTATGAGTAATAAATAAGCAACATTCATCAAATTAGTCTTATATTACAAAAGTGTTCTTTATCTTTACTGTTTGTCTCATTGATCTGGAAAATAAAGTGCTGATTGTCCCAAAATTGGTCATACAGAACAGATATTGTATTTCTTTATTATGATAAATATGGAAAAAACTTGTAAACATTAAAGCATATGAAATATTATGCTGTAAATAACAACTGCCAACAGTTGTAAAGTATTTAATATTTGAAAAACTATGTACATATTAAATCTTACCAAGGAAACCCAAAAGTTGTAAATTTAAAATTATTAATGAAATATTTTTGGTTCTTCCCAAATCTCTGTATTTTTGAGCCTCTGGCTTATACACTGATTTAAAGTAAATTCTTCTGTCTCCTTGGTCAGCAATGACAAGTTATCTTTAGTACTAATTTCTGGAAACAAACGGACTTATTTCATACCTAGATCATTTTACAATAAAGCTAGAACATCTTTGACAACTGAGGAGATTCAGAAAAGGTTTCCCAGGGCTGTTTATATATTCTCCTTGCCAACAGAGCAGGAGTCGTATTTGCTAGATGGGCCATGGGGGATATTGTTAGTGAAGACTGTGGATAGAAGGCAAATGAAGTTAGACAAAGGGAAGCAAATGGGCTAGAAATGTCTAGAGCAGGGATCAAGACTATCAACCAGGTATTTGAAAAAGGTCAAGTCACCAATATCATTTGCTGACCTACTTAGGAAGAAATAGACTAAAACAAACAAAACAAACCCATATGCCTCCAATTAAAATTCTATTCACTCATGATGTTTCACTGATGTGGCAAGGACTACTGTGTTATAAACCAATCAAGTTTTCAAGGGCAAGAGACTTTGCCAGTAAATAAAATGATGCCATTCTTCCTGATGACAAACAGGAAGGGGTGATCAGCTCTGAACACTGTGGATTCAGGGAGCTGCTTTTCTACAATGTTGGCTTCTGTGGCTGCTGACGCCTCAGTGCCCTCCTCTGTGACCTCTATGAATGACTTGTGCATTAGCTTTGATACATAGAGACGACCTCCAGAAGCAATTCCCGAGAGATCAGCTCTGGACTCATCAAAGATATCCTCCAACCCTAGAGGTTTCAAGTGTCTCCTCATTTCATAATCTTTCTCTATCTTGAACTGAGGAAGAAACACCTCCACATACTGAGATTTCATTTTTCTTCTATTGGTCCAGTCCATTAGATTTCGAAAGCTCAGTCTGTTTTCAATCTGTAAGGATAAAAAAATTACCTTAGAAACATGATTGTGAAAAAATGAAGCAAGAACTACAATGACTTGTTCAAGTGTCTCCTCATTTCATAATCTTTCTCTATCTTGAACTGAGGAAGAAACACCTCCACATACTGAGATTTCATTTTTCTTCTATTGGTCCAGTCCATTAGATTTCGAAAGCTCAGTCTGTTTTCAATCTGTAAGGATAAAAAAATTACCTTAGAAACATGATTGTGAAAAAATGAAGCAAGAACTACAATGACTTGTGGTTTTGACATCCTCCATCCTCCTGGATTTTTGTATTTAATTACATGAATCATACCTAGAGGGAGTCTCAAAGAAAAATGACTGAAATGAATAGTTCAAGCACTTCCAAACAAATCATA